TTGCAGAGGCAAAGGCAATGTTCGCGGCTTTCACTGAGACCCACATAAAGGATCACTTGGACAACGAAATATGGATCCCAGGTTACAACCTATACAGATGTGACAGAGTGAACAGGCAAAAGGGGAGGGTTGGCCTGTACATTGCAGAGTCACTTGTTTGCACAGAACTGCTAAATGCCTCAATTGATGTAGTGGAAGTTTTAGCAGTAAAGGTCGAGAACCAAAACCTAGTCATTGTGGTAGTCTACAAGCCTCCGGATGCAACATCCCAGCAATTCCAGGAACAGCTGTTAAAAATTGACCACTGTCTGGAAAACCTTCCAGCTCCTGCACCCAACATCTTGCTCCTGGGATATTTCAACTTAAGGCACCTAAAATGGAGGAATATAGCAAATAATATTGTTGCAGTAATAACACCAGGAGGCAGCTCTGATGAAAACTCACACTCACGCGAGCTTTTAAATCTCTGCACAAAATTCAATTTAAACCAGCAAATAATAGAGCCTACTAGACTGGAGAATACACTAGACCTCATCTTCACTAACAATGATGATCTGATAAGAAATGTCACCATATCAAAAACAATATACTCAGATCACAACATAATTGAGGTTCAGTCATGTATGCGCGGAGCCCCAGACCGACATAATGAGATTAGTCACGAGGGAGCATTCACCAAATTCAACTTCAATAACAAAAACATAAAGTGGGACCAAGTAAACCAAGTCCTAACGATATAAGCTGGGAAGATATACTAAGCAACACAGACCCCAACTTATGCCTAGAACAGATTAACTCGGTGGCACTCGATGTATGCACAAGGCTTATTCTCTAAGAAAAAGGAGGAGTAGATGTAAAACAGAAAGAGACAGGCGCTCCCTTTACAGGCGACGGAAAAGAATAACAGAGCGGCTAAAAGAGGTCAATATATCTGAAATGCGTAGGGAGACACTGGTCAGAGAAATAGCAAGCATCGAACTTAAGCTAAAAGAATCCTTTAGGAGTCAGGAATCGCGGGAAGAACTAAAAGCCAGAAATGAAATCGAAAAAACCCAAAGTATTTCTTCTCCTATGCCAAATCAAAATCGAGAACAACGTCCAGTATTGGGCCCCTACTTAAACAAGATGGGTCCTACACAGATGACAGCAAGGAAATGAGTGAGCTACTCAAGTCCCAATATGACTCAGTTTTTAGCAAGCCGCTAACCAGACTGAGAGTCGAAGATCAAAATGAATTTTTTATGAGAGAGCCACAAATTTGATTAACACAAGCCTATCCGATGTTATCCTGACGCCAAATGACGTCGAACAGGCGATAAATGACATGCCCATGCACTCTGCCCCAGGGCGAGACTCATGGAACTCTGTGTTCATAAAGAACTGCAAGAAGCCCCTATCACGAGCCTTTTCCATCCTATGGAGAGGGAGCATGGACACGGGGGTCGTCCCACAGTTACTAAAAACAAACAGACATAGCCCCACTCCACAAAGGGGGCAGTAAAGCAACAGCAAAAAAACTAAGACCAATAGCACTAACATCCCATATCATAAAAATCTTTGAAAGGGTCCTAAGAAGCAAGATCACCACCCATCTAGAAACCCATCAGTTACACAAACCCAGGGCAACATGGGTTTAGAACAGGTCGCTCCTGTCTGTCTCAACTATTGGATCACTACGACAAGGTCCTAAATGCATTAGAAGACAAAAAGAATGCAGATGTAATATATACAGACTTTGCAAAAGCCTTCGACAAGTGTGACCATGGCGTAATAGCGCACAAAATGCGTGCTAAAGGAATAACAGGAAAAAGTCGGTCGATGGATCTATAATTTTTCCCCACTAACAGAACACAGAGAGTAGTCGTCAACAGAGTAAAGTCCGAGGCAGCTACGGTGAAAAGCTCTGTTCCCCAAGGCACAGTACTCGCTCCCATCTTGTTCCTCATCCTCATATCCGACATAGACAAGGATGTCAGCCACAGCACCGTGTCTTCCTTTGCAGATGACACCCGAATCTGCATGACAGTGTCTTCCATTGCAGACACTGCAAAGCTCCAGGCGGACATCAACCAAATCTTTCAGTGGGCTGCAGAAAACAATATGAAGTTCAACGATGAGAAAAATTTTAATTACTCAGATATGGTAAACATGAGGAAATTAAATCTTCATCAGAGTACAAAACAAATTCTGGCCACAAAATAGAGCGAAACACCAACGTCAAAGACCTGGGAGTGATCATGTCGGAGGATCTCACCTTCAAGGACCATAACATTGTATCAATCGCATCTGCTAGAAAAATGACAGGATGGATAATGAGAACCTTCAAAACTAGGGAGGCCAAGCCCATGATGACACTCTTCAGGTCACTTGTTCTATCTAGGCTGGAATATTGCTGCACACTAACATCACCTTTCAAGGCAGGTGAAATTGGTGGCCCGGTGGCCTGGTGGCTAAAGCTCCCGCTTCACACACGGAGGGCCCGGGTTCGATTCCCGGCGGGTGGAAACATTTCGGACACGTTTCCTTACACCTGTTGTCCTGTTCACCTAGCAGCAAATAGGTACCTGGGTGTTAGTCGACTGGTGTGGGTCGCATCCTGGGGGACAAGATTAAGGACCCCAATGGAAATAAGTTAGACAGTCCTCGATGACGCACTGACTTTCTTGGGTTATCCTGGGTGGCTAACCCTCCGGGGTTAAAAATCCGAACGAAATCTTATCTTATCTTATCTTAAATTGCCGACCTAGAAAATGTAAAGAGAACTTTCACGGCGCGCATAACGGAGATAAAACACCTCAATTATTGGGAGCGCTTGAGGTTCCTAAACCTGTATTCCCTGGAACGCAGGAGGGAGAGATACATGATTATATACACCTGGAAAATCCTAGAGGGACTAGTACCGAACTTGCACACGAAAATCACTCACTACGAAAGCAAAAGACTTGGCAGACGATGCACCATCCCCCCAATGAAAAGCAGGGGTGTCACTAGCACGTTAAGAGACCATACAATAAGTGTCAGGGGCCCGAGACTGTTCAACTGCCTCCCAGCACACATAAGGGGGATTACCAACAGACCCCTGGCAGTCTTCAAGCTGGCACTGGACAAGCACCTAAAGTCAGTTCCGGATCAGCCGGGCTGTGGCTCGTACGTTGGTTTGCGTGCAGCCAGCAGCAACAGCCTGGTAGATCAGGCTCTGATCCACCAGGAGGCCTGGTCACAGACCGGGCCGCGGGGGCGTTGACCCCCGGAATTCTCTCCAGGTAACTCCAGGTAAACATCGTCTTCACATCTCTACTGTTCCTGCCTACTTTCTGTATTCGACTGAAGAAGCCTACTGTGTAGGCGACACGTTTCGGAATAAAGTTGCCTGACTGTTGCCTATGTGTCTTACCTACCAACTAGTACCAAACTTACACTTGAAAATCACTTCCTATGAAAGCAAAAGACTCGGCAGACGATCAGGGCCGGATTTATGAGGGGGCAACTGCCCTGGGCCTCCCTGCCAGAGGGACTCCCAGACGAAGGACTTATAACAAAATGTAATAATAAAAAAATTAGTTTAATTAATTAACTGAAATAGTGTGTGGGGGCATTAGAAAATAAAGGGTGTCCCCACCCCTAAAGGCAGTTCCTGATCAGCCGGGCTGTGGCTCGTACGTTGGTTTGCGTGCAGCCAGCAGCAACAGCCTGGTTGATCAGGCGCTGATCCACCAGGAGGCCTGGTCACAGACCGGGCCGCGGGGGCGTTGACCCCCGAAACTCTCTCCAGGTCTCTCCAGGTAATCTTTGGTTAGCGTCAGCTTAGAGGTGAATGACCAGACCTCCCCTCAGGGGAGGTTCCTTGACTCTGGTGAGGGGCTCTTGATCTAGGGAATTGGATTTGTGCTCCGGTTCCCTGCAGTGAGCCTGAATACCTTCCATCACCCCCACAGGCGTTGTATAACCCTATGTGTTTATCGCTCCCACGTGATTATAATAATCTTCCCCGGACCCACAAGACAATGCTCGATACGACGTGAGCTGACAGTGACCCTATACACTAAGAGGAAGAAGGTAAGCAAATCAGTAAGTTTATATAGATACAAGTACACACAAATATAGTTACACAAGTTATGCCTAGGCACGCTAGTGGCTTTCTTTGTAATTAATATTTTATAATATGTAAACCACACATTATAAGCTTTGCAAGGATAACCCAAAATAGTCAAAGTGACTTATTTCCATTGGGGGTCCTTGTTATATTTTATTGTTTAATCTTTAGTAAGTTTGTTTTGGTACAAGTACACATAAATACAGTTACATAAATTAGCATATGTGTAATCACCTAGGATAACCCAAAATGGCTAGACAAAGTGATTTATTTCCATTGCTGTCCATGTCGCAGAGTGATATGGACCTTCACTGATACATTCTGCCTTCCCTCAGAGAATTTCACCTCCTATCTGTTGCTGTCTTGCAACATTGCATAACTCCTGACGACGCACGAGAGTGCGAAAGATCTTGAGCTAAAGACTTCCATCCCCATGTGGCTTGTTCTGCATTGTTAAGATTGCCTGTTTGAAATTATATTGCAATGCCCATAGTGCTCTGCATACAAGGGGCTTTTGGCATTTAAACCCAACTACTATAATATCCTTGTACAACTATGTATCATGTCCAAATAAAAATTATTATTTTGGCGAGGGCCTGGGTTCGATTCCCAGCCAGAGTAGAAACATTTGGCGTGTTTCTTTCTACCTGTTGTCTATGTTTCCCATCAGTAAAATGGGAACCTGGGTGTTAGTGGACTGGTGTGGGTCGCATCATGGGACACTGACCTAATTTGCCCGACATGCGGAGCATAACAAGAGGCTTTCTGTATAGTAGTAAGTCATTGTTGTCAGCTAGGCTTGTATACCTTGTACATGTACTTGTAGTAAATAAAGATATTATTATGTTAGTATTTGTAAGTCACAGGAAACTGGGCTTAATAAAACCTACACTTTGGTAGTCCTTAACAACCCCAACAAGAGCCAGACTGTCAGCTTGTTGTTATTGATGTTATACAAACATATTTCTGTCAGTGGCCTTATAAACCCCAGTAACAACAATTAAAAACACATTTACTGAGAAATAGTACCCAGCGTCTGCTTTATTACATAGGAATAGATGGACTTTGATGTATTGTCACAGTAATTAACTGTTTACTTAAATTTATTTACAGGCATTGTTGAATCACATCAGTGACTACAATGGCTGGTGTTTCATTGGTTGTGATTGTTGTAGTAGCATCACTTGTGGCAACAACTTTGAGCTTAACTTGCCCTCTAGTTCTCAGAACTAATGCTCAGGTGGAACGGCAGTTATTAAATGAAGGCTTTCACAGGTGATTATGCCTATTTTTTCACAAACTTCTCAAAATTACAACTGCCATTTTTGTTTCCTTTTTTTTATTATTGTGATTTTCCTCTTTATAAAATCATTTGTTGATATATCTATTACTTTGTAAAGTTTTTAGCGGTCTAAAAATATTTTTGATTCGTCCTTTTTTCAGAGACTTGGAGACTACAGTATTTTTATCATCACCAGAGGACCTGCAGTCATGTGTAGTGCTCATTAAAGAAATCTTCCCTTCTGGCTCTTACGTTGACCCCAACCAGCTTCGTTTCCTCAAATCTCTTGGAGGTCCTGATTTTTATGTTCCACAGGTAACTATATTTCCACAAGTGTTTTGTTAATAATAGACTGAACCTGCCATACATTAGTTTCTACTGCTACCCTTACTGCTTCTATCACCATTACTTCTATTATCTTTCACAAAGCAATCAAGTCTTATTTATTCTTTAGCAAGTTATCACATATCAATTTAGACTTTTTATTTTCTCTTAAAATGCTTTTTCTTTTCTCATTGGAGTATAAAACAAATTCCAACCACACAGTAGAGTGAAAAACTAATGTAAAAGACCTGAGAGTGATCATGTGAAGAACCAGAACATTGTATCAATCGCATCTGCTAGAAAAATGACAGGATGGATAATGAGAACCTTCAAAACTAGGGAGGCCAAGCCCATGATGACACTCTTCGGGTCACTTGTTCTATCTAGGCTGGAATATTGCTGCACACTAACAGCACTTTTCAAGGCAGGTGAAATTGCTGACCTAGAAAATGTACAGAGAACCTTCATGGCACAAACAACTGTGATAAAATGCCTTGGTTACTGGGAACGCTTAAAGTTCCTCAACCTGTACTCCCTAGAACACAGGTGGGAGACATACATGATTATATACACGTGGAAAATCCTAGAGGGATTAGTACCAAACTTGCACACAAAAATGATTCCCTAAGAAAGCAAAAGACTCAGCAGACGATGCAATGTCCCCCAATGAAAGGCAAGGGTGCCACTAGCACGATAAGAGACAACACAGTAAGTGTGAGGGGCCCAAGACTGTTCAACTGTCTCCCAGCATACATAAGGGAATTACCAATAGACCCCTGGCTCTCTTCAAGTAGGCACTGGACAGGCGCCTAACGTCAGTACCTGACCAGCCGGGCTGTGAGTTGTATGTTGAACTGCGTGTGGCTAGCCGTAATAGCCTGATTGATCAGGCCCTGGTCCACCATGAGGCCTGGTCACAGACTGGGCCATGGGGGCATTGACCCCCAGCACTCTCTTCAGGTATACTGTATTCTTCTATTGTATCATGAGATCAGGTAGTTATTAGTGACTATTTTGCTACTGTATTTTTGATGAATGGTTTTGAAAACCGACAAGTTGAAGAATTGAGACACTTATGCAACACATGTGTTGCATAAGTGTCTACTGTATTTTAAAATAGGCTGAGGAATACACAAGCATGGAAAGGAAAATTTAAAATTTTTTGCTTTGTGTAAGCAGGAAGGGGTAGAAACTGTGACAAAAAACCTTATCAGTATGGAGTCTTACACCTGCCAGTAAGAGACAAGCAGAGTGGCAAGGACTCAGCCTGTATAAGGTGCCACTGGCCAGTTAGAGGCAGGCAGGGTAGTTTGGAGTCAGCTTGTATAGGTTACTATGAGTCAGTAGAATTGTTGATATATAAGCTTTGCTTATATATCAACATGTTATATGCAAAAAGATGCCAATTTTCTGAGTGTAGAGAGGTAATTTTCTGTGCTGGCCAAGAATAGGGCTAAGGAAAAGTAACAACAGTGAAATGGAAGATTTTAGATACACATATATATTAGTTGTGCAATAATTCTCTTTTATCTGAATATATGTTGTTGATAGTGGCCCACTAAGTTTAAATATACCTTGGAATGTGTAACTGTTTTGAATAATAATTAAAATATCATTAAAATTATTTGTGAGTTTTCTCTTATTTATATCATAAATAAAACATACATATGTATCTTCCCTAAGTGTTTAAGATCAAGTTGTTGCTCTGTCTAGTCTTAACTGTTGAAAACTGAGAAGATAGTACAGTGGACCCCCGGTTAACGATATTTTTTCACTCCAGAAGTATGTTCAGGTGCCAGTACTGACCGAATTTGTTCCCATAAGGAATATTGTGAAGTAGATTAGTCCATTTCAGACCCCCAAACATACACGTACAAACGCACTTACATAAATACACTTACATAATTGGTCGCATTCGGAGGTGATCGTTATGCGGGGGTCCACTGTATAATGTCTTATAGACAGAAACTTGCGTATTTCAAAACTAATTGTAGCCGAATATAATAATAATTTGTGAATACGTTCACACAGCTATTCTCAGGAACTATATATGAATAATTGATGAATCTTTAAAACAGGTTATCAATGTTGAGACCCCAGAGCACCTGTCACCTCGAATTCTTGCTTATTTTTATATGCTGCCAAGGCCATTCAGTGATGGGAGATGGGTGGTGAACATGACTGTCCCTGTCCACCTCCGCTATCACAGGTAGGTATGATGGAATGCAGTATAATTAGTGCTGTTCTGTGAATAAAATGGGAAGATATTGCAGAGAGCTGTGTAAGGCTTGTGCAAAACACCATAGACTGAGAAAAATCGTGAGATGATCACATTTATGTTATTACCAAGATTGGATAGCTTGATTAGTCATTTTAAACCCTAGTGGAGAACTACCAATGTGGTACCAAAAAAAAAAAAAATAGCAAAAGCATACCATAGCTGCTACATTTTTTAGTACACGTACCTTGGTTGTGTCATTGTATTTTATATGCACAAAGAATTGTCATGATTCCAGGGCTCGAAGTGGAGAGTCATACCCACTAGAAGTGGCAGTAAGACTTCAACACCCGGCTGTGTTTCTCCAGTGTGAAGACATAGGAGGAGATGCATGCAGGCCTTTGGTCCACTTGGAGCCATGCCCTCCTAATGGCGTGCAGCAATGCGAGTGGCTTCCTGTACACACCTTCAGTGTAAGTTTCTAACCTGTATTTAGCTTTCTGATTCTGTGTAGTGGTCTCTCTCTCTCTCCCTCTCTCTTTTTTTCTCTCTCTTTTTTTTTCTCCTCCTCCCCCTTGGGCTAAACTCAAAAGGGTCCATGACCACAAGAGAAAAAATCCTAGGCAGCCCTGTCTTGGTATTCCTGTATGGCATCTTTGAAGCATGATTCCTCTGTGTGTTCAAATTATTTTCCCTTTCCAGAATGCTAGTTGGATTCCCATCAGCATAGTTCTTCTATCTCTTCTCGCAGTATTATAGTTGCTTCTCACATTTACAAACTGCTACAGTTTTTCTTATTTAATAAAGAACAAAATATAAATTGTAAATATGGTGAAAGAATTCATGCACACAAATTATTCAAGAATTTATTTACAATAAGTAATGGAATACAAAGACATGTTAAAATCATATACATTGATTTGATTGAAAAAATTATGGTATGATGTAGAGTGAAAAAGAATAATCACTTAAGTGGTTGCTTGAATTGGTTTTATAATGAATAAAGTATTGTTTATGCATTTGTGTATAACAGGATGATGTTATAAAGGTTAAATGTTTAATTCATCACTGATTAGAATATGCCATATATACTGTAATTGTTATATGTTTCATATTTCTATACTTTGACCATCACTTGTGCTTCACTTATAAGTAAATACATGCAGTGTTATGTTAAGTACTCAAATACAATATTTAAAAAATGAAATTACTGTAATGTACAACATTTATGCTTAACACATTAATTAAAATTTTTTTAGAATAACTTTGTTTTAATTTTTGTTATAATGGGTAGATTCTTTCATTTGGTACTGTGTTGTACAGACAAGTGAGGCAGTGCTGGGTGTGGTACCAGTAGGCAACACAGACCTGCTGGACACAGTGCTCCTCACCACCACCTGCATCACTGCTGGAGCAATGCTACTCATCCTTGCAACACTCAGGAAAAAATAAATCTAGGCATAAGAAAAAATCAAGAAAAAATAAATCTAGACAGGAATATTGGAAGGTCTATAACAAACATGAATGAAACTAAACTAGTCAAATTTCTAAACGAGTATGATAATGCTGGAATTGTAAACACTGTTGAGCCTAGTCACGGTTGTAACCTCAAAACCCAATTGACCCATGGATTTAGTGCCTCTGCAATGACAGTGATTATGTATGAGTGGTGGTGAAAAGTGTTGAATGATGGTGAAAGTATTTTTCTTTCTTTTTGGGTCACCCTTCCTCGATGGGAAATGGCAAGTGTGCTAAGAAAAAAAATGTAAATATAATATGAAGATGCACTTTCTTACATCACTGTAAATAAGATTTGTTTATTATGCATTTAAGCAATATATAAGTGGCTTATATAATATAACAGTCTTTTGTCTAAATGTGAGTACAGTTTATAATAGCAGAACCTATAAAGAAATTTCTTGAATATATTATGATATTAAAAGTTTTTGAAAACTGTAGACTTTGGGAACTTCAAATTAATTTCATTGATGATATATGACATGACATATATGACATATTTGGAAATTCTTGTGTCATGCATGCGTGTATATGTGACATGACATTAAGCTAAGTTTTATGATCTATAATTCAGTCCTCTGTGATCTTACATTAATGAACTTACATAAAGTTCAAGCAGTACTCCTTGACACTGGAATCTAGAAAAAAACTAATCTTGAGTAATTAAATACATATCCAACTATATGAATATCAAAATGAATGGCAAAAACAGTTGGTAGGAAAAATAAATGAAAAAATTTCTAGGCTTAATCCAGATGGACTAGAAAATAAAATTTAATACTCATATCCAACACAATGCATACTTTTAAATGTCCACTATTATGTACCTACCTCAACTCTGTTTATACTGCACTTTTACTGATCCATGTCTCATGTGATGTGTGTACTTGGATCAGCAACTACAACCACCTTAAATCAGTCATCATTCAACAAAAGGTAGCCATGGGAGTTATTTGAAAAGTTAGCGGTAGACAGCATATACCACCTCTATTCAAAGTCTTAAATTACTAAATATATAAACCATTCATGCATTCTGCTACTCACTTTACATCTTCAGGACAATAAACAATAATATCAATACACAATTAAGATTCTTCCTAGAGAGAGCTGCAACAGAACCCACAGGTGTCAAACAAGAAATGAATTCCTATTTGATATTTCATGTTTACAATGGAGTCTGAGTAAATGCTGTGAAAATTAAAGGACCCAAAATCTGGAATGGTCTACCAGATAATAGGAATGGAGGCAAAAACCATTTGCCTCCACTCCTATCTAACACGCACATGCCTGCTGGATGTCCAAGCCCCTCACACACAAGACCTTTACCCCATCTCTTCAACCTTTCCTAGGGTAACCCCTACCCCACCTTCCCTTCACTGCAGATTTATACACCCTCCAGGTCATCCTATTTTGCTCCATCCTCTGTAAATGTCCAAACCACCTCAATAAAAAACTACAGTGGTACCTCGAGTTACGAACTTAATTCGTTCCAGAAGGCTGTTCAAGGGCCGATAGTGAACGAATTTGTTCCCATAAGGAATAATGTAAATTAGATTAGTCTGTTTCAGACCCCCAAAAATACACTTACACAAGCACCTACAAAAATACACTTACATAATTGTTCAAGTTGGGAGCTGTTCGAAACTCGAGGTACCACTGTGTATACACGTATATATACACACACAGTATATGCATACATGTATATATATGTATATGATAAATGTGTTCATTAGCTCAAGTATTGCCATGTGAAATACTTTTCATTTGTATATGGTAATATGTATTTATGTATATTTATGCGTAATAAAATTTTGTTATTACTCCTAGTTTGTCTACCCAAAATATTTTACATAAGGTTTTCCATGTAAGACATCTTTGTAATAACTGCATCTTATTGGAAAATTAATTGTAGTATTTTGATTATGGTTTTGATTTTTATTATTATAATTAATTATTAGTGTATTTTTATTCCTCAGGTAGGCTGTTCCTTCAGATCTAACTGCTTACTCTCCCCTTCCACCATGTCAACAGAATAAGTGTGTGTGTGTGTGTGTGTGTATACACATGCTCACCTATTTGTGGTTGCAGGTGTCAATTAGCAGATCTGTGTGTGTGCACGTGTGGGCATGTGGATACGTACTTACCCAACTATGGTTGCAGGGGTCGATTCATAGCTTCTAGCCCCAACTCTTTGCTGGTCGCTACTAGGTCCACACACTCCCTTCTCTATGAGCTTTATCAGACCTCTTCTTAAAGCTATGAATGGATCCTGCCTCCACTACATCACTCTCCAGATTGTTCCACTACCTGACAACTCTGCTACTGAAGAAATACTTCCTAATATCCTTGTGACTCCTCTGAGCTTTTAACTTCCAAATGTGACCCCTTGTTGCTGTGTCCCATCTCTGAAACATTGTCGCTGTCCACCTCATCAAATCCTCTCGGTATTTCATGTTATTGTGCACATATAAGTACGATAAGGCACCTAAATTACCAGGAACAGTTGAAGGTCCTTGATCTGTATTTCCTGGAATGCAGGCGAGAGAGAGATGCATGATAATATACACTTGGAAGGTCCTGGAGGGATTGGTAACAAACCGGCACACAAAAATCACTCCCTATGAAAGCAAAAATACTCTGCAGGAAATGCAATAATTCCCCGATGAAAAGCAGGGGCGCCACGAGTACGATTGAGAGAAAACACAGTGTCTGGGGACCAAGACTGTTCAACTGCCTCCCAGCATACATAAGGGGGATTACCAATAGACCCCTGGCTGTCTTTAAGAAGGCACTGGACAGGTACCTAAAGTCAGTACCTGACCAACCGGGCTGTGGTTACTGCTGGCATGCGGCCAGCAGTAACAGCCTGGTTGATCAGACCCTAATCCACCATAAGGAATGGTCTCAGAGCCGCAGGGGCGTTGACCCCCGAAACACTCTCCAGGTAAACTCCAGGTATGCCCTCCAGTGTCAGCCTGATTTCCCTTAACCTCCTTATAGGGCATACCCCTTGGTTCTGGGACTAGTCTTGTTGCAAATCTTTGCACATTCTCTTAAATGACGTGCTTGACCAGGGGTGGGTTCCATTCTGGTGATGTGTACTCCAGTATGGGCCTGATATACACAGTGTCTTGAATGATTCCTTACATAGATGTCGAAACAGCCAGGCACCCATGTGCTTCGGCTGTTATTTGGCTGATGTGCACCTCAAGAGATGTGCTCGGTATGAAACCTCTTTCACATACATTAACTATTCTAGAGGAGAGGAGGAGCATGGACACAGGGGTCATATCACAGTCACTAAAAACAACAGATACATGTATAGCCCCACTCCACAAGGGTGGCAGTAAAGCGAAGAACTACAGACTGATTATACTAACATCCCACATAAAAATCTTTGAAAGGGTTCTTAGAAGAAAGATCTTCAACCATTTGGATACCCATCAATTGCACAACTCAAGGCAATGCAAGTTTAAGAGCAGGTCGCTTCTGCCTGTCCCAACTACTGGATCACTATGACATGGTATTGGATGCACTGGAGAACAAGTCAAAATACAGATATAGTATTCACAGACTTTGCAAAAGCCTTCAACAAGTGCAATTATGGCACAACTGCAAACAAAATACAAAAAGGAATAACAGAAAAAGTAGGTAGGTGGATCAATAACTCCCTAACAAACAGAACAGAGTACAGTGGACCCCCGGTTAACGATATTTTTTCACTCCAGAAGTATGTTCAGGTGCCAGTACTGACCGAATTTGTTCCCATAAGGAATATTGTGAAGTAGATTAGTCCATTTCAGAGCCCCAAACATACACGTACAAACGCACTTACATAAATACACTTACATAATTGGTCGCATTCGGAGGTGATCGTTATGCGGGGGTCCACTGTAATAGTAAACAGAGTAAAGTCAGATGCGGCTACAGTGAAATGCTCTGTTCCACAAGGTACAATACTCGCTCCCCATCCTTTTCTTCATCCTCATATCTGACATAGACAGATGTAAGCCACAGCACTGTGTCGTCCTCTGCTGATAATACCAGAATTTGCATGACAGTGTTATCCATCGAGAACACTGCAAATCTCCAGGCGGACATTTACCAAGTCTTTAAATGGGTGTCAGAAAACAATATGAAGTTCAGTAAAGACAAATTTCAATTACTCTGCTATAGAAAACTCGAGGAAATAAAAGCTATCAGAGTATAAAACAAATTCCAATCACACAATAGTGAAAAACTGATGTGAAGGACCTGGGGGTGGTAATGTCAAAGAATCTCATGTTCAGAGATGACAATGTATCTACCACATCTGCTAGGATGGATAATGAGAACATTCAAAACGTCCCCTTTCAGGGCAAGTGAAATTGTAGACCTGGAGAGTGCTGGGAATGGTTGAAGGCTCTTGACCCCTCAAGGAAGGTTCCTTGATGTTGGTGAGGGGCTCTTGATTTAGGGAATTGGATCTGTGCTCCAGTTCCCCAAATTAAGCCTGAATGCCTTCCACATCCCCCCCCAGGCGCTGTATAATCCTCCGGGTTTAGCGCTTCCCCCTTGATTGTAATAATAATAATGAAGGCTCTTGACCTGTACTCCTTGGAATGCAGGTAAGAAAGATGTGATAATATACACTTGGAAAATAATAAAGTCCCAAATCTACACAACAGAATCACTCCCTATGAAAGCAAAAGACTAGGCAGGCAGTGAAATATCCCTCCCCCCCAATGAAGAGCAGGGGTGCCATGAGTATGCAAAGAGAAAAACTAAGTGTTAGGGCCCAAGACTGTTCAACTGCCTCCCAGCATACATAAGGGGGTTACCAATAGACCCCTAGCTGTTTTCAAGTGGAAGCTGGACAGCAGTAACAGCCTGGTTGATCAGGCCCTAATCCACCACAAGGCCTGGTCATGGACCGGGCTGTGGGGGAGTTGACCCTCCAGGTATGATGCCCACCCCAAGATCCTTTTCTTTAAGTGAGTTTTGCAGGCTTTGACCTCCTAAGCTTTACTCGCTCTGCAGTCTTCTTTGCCATTCCCCAGACTTTGTGACTGCACTAGCTGGGGTTAACTCCAGGAGCCATTTGTCAGACCAGGCTTGCAGGCTGTCCAGATCCTGTAGGCTTATCTGATTCTTGCCCACTTGTATTCTCCTCATTAGTTTCACATCATTTACGAACAAGGACACCTCTGATTCTATCCCTTCTGTCAAGCCATTTACATACTAGAACCAGCACTGGACCTAGGAATGACCTTGTGGAACCCCACTTGAATGTTACATTCGCCCCCTCCGACACCTTGTCACATGCCAGCACCCTTTGTTTCCTTCCTGTTAGGTATTCCCTGATCCATTGCAGTACTTTCCCTGCTATTCCAGTCTGCTCTTCTAGCTTATTAACCAGTCTCTTGTGTGGTACTCTATCGAAAGCCTTCTTACAATCCAAAAAGATGCAGTCTACCCATCCCTCTCTTTCCTGTCTTACTTCTGTTACCTTATCACAGAACTCTCAGTAAGTTTGTGATGCAGGCTTTTCCTTCCCTGAAGCTGTGCTGTTGTCATTTATGAGCCATTTCCTTTCTAGGTGCTCCACCACTCTTCTGATAATATTCACCATAACGTTACATACTATACATGTTAGCAACACAGGTCTGTAGTTTAGTGCTGCCTGTCTGTCTCCTGGGACTACATTTGCTGACTTCCACACCTCAAGCAGTTGCCCTGTTTCAGTAGATTTATTGAAGATTATTGTTAGTAGCACATATAGCATCTCTCCTCCCTCTCTCAGGACCCACGGAGGGATGTTATCTGAGCCCACCACCTTCGAGGTATCTAGTTCACCTAGCGGTTTCCTCACCTCCACCTCAGTTGTGCACAGTATGTCCAGCACTTGCTTGTGCACTCTACTACCTCAGTTTGCTGGAAGCTTCTCTGTCTCCACTGTGAATGTCTCCCTGAATCTTCAGATGAGCTCTTGACATACTTCCTGGTCACTCCCTGTGAGCTCCCCTCCTTCCTTCCTCAGCCTGATTACCTGATCCTTGACTGTTATTTTCCTCCTGGTGTCTCTGTGTAACAATTTTGGGTGAGATTTGGCTTTTGATGCTATGTCATTCTCGTATTGTCGCTGGACCTCTCTCCTTATCCATGCATATTCATTTCTGGCTCTGGCTCAACTCCGTTCTTCTGAGTCCTTTGTCTTATATCATTTTTCCATGCTCTAGCACACCTGGCTTTGGCCTCTCCACACCTCTGGGTAAACTATGGGCTCACTCTGATCTTCCCATTGTTTCTGTTGCCCCTTGGCATTAACTTCTTTGTCTCCCTGCACTTTGTGGTCACATATTCCATCATTTTGTTTACTGTTTTCCCCTCTAGCTCTTTTACCCACTGCATCTTATGCAAGAACAGGGGCGTTTCTACAGCAAGCACTGAAATTGCACCCCTGTCCAGACATTTGATACCCATCTTTTAGATAACTATCATAAAATCAGCTCAAAAAATACAAGTCAAACTTGTTAATCTTTTAATTAATAATTTATGGCACTACATGAAAGTTATGACTGCACCTTCCTTGCTTTCACTGATGCAAATTGGTTTATGGAATATTGAAGTTAAAAGACATCAGAGACGAAAGAAAGGAATAGATGATGAGAACTCGAGAGATGCTGGGTTAACAGTCAAGGAGGAAATGAAGTCATTCAGTGTCCTCGATGGATAACACTCATGCAAATTTTGGTATCATTAGCAAATGAAGATATTGTGCTGTGACTTACAGCTCTCTCTATGTCAGATATGAGGATGAGGACAAGGATGGGAGCGAGTACTGTATCTTGTGAAACACACCCCTCAAGGAAGGTTCCTTGATGTTGGTGAGGGGCTCTTGATTTAGGGAATTGATCTGTGCTCCAGTTCCCCGAATTAAGCCTGAATGCCTTCCACATCCCCCCCTGGGCGCTGTATAATCCTCCGGGTTTAGCGCTTCCCCCTTGATTATAATAATAATAAATCTTGATTTAGGGAATTGACCGAGCTCTGTTGATTATCTGTGCTCCAGTTCCCGAATAGCCTGAATGCCTCCCATCCCCCCAGCGCTGTATAATCCTCGGTTTAGCGCTTCCCCTTGATTATAATAATAACTGTGAAACATACTGTGCCACTTGACTTTCTTGGATCTTGTGATCTGATTGGGACTTCGATCATCTCCCATTGAACTGAGCCTGAATGCCTCCCATCCCCCCACATGCGCTGTATAATCCTACAGGTTTAGCGCTCCCCATGATTATAATAATAACCTCTGACTACTCTGTTTACTATTACTTTTTGTGTTCTGTTTATTTGGGAGTTACAATCCATCTACCCACTTTTCCTGTTATTACTTTATCACGCATTTTGTGTGCTATTACACCATTGCCACACTTGTCAAAGGCTTTTCCAAAGTCTTTGTATACTACATCTGCATTTTGTTTGTCCTCCAGTTCATCCAGGGCCTTGTCATAGTGGTCCAGCAGTTCGGACAGACAGGAGCGACCTGCTCTCAGCCCATGCTGCCCTGGGTTGTGTGACTAATGGGTATCCAAGTGGTTGGAGATCTTGCTTCTTAGAACCCTTTCAAAGATTTTTATAATGTGGGACGTTGGTGCTATCGGCCTGTAATTCTTTGCAACTGCTTTACTGCCACCTTTGTGGAGTGGGGCTATATCTGTTGTTTTTAGTGACTGTGGGATGACCCCTGTGTCCATGCTCCCTCTCCATAGAATGCTAAAGGCATGTGAAAGGGGTTTCTTGTAGTTCCTGATGAATACAGAGTTCCACGAGTCTGGGCCTTGGGCAGAGTGCATGGGCATGTCATTTATTCTTTTTTAAAGTCCTGTGGTGTTATGATTACATCCAAAATTCATGAATTAACCATATTTTGAGTCTTGGGCATAAAAAAAATCACATTGGTTGTCGACCCTTAGTCTGATCAACGGCTCACTATACGCTGGGTCATGTTGGGACTTCAGTATCTCGTTCATTTCTTTTCTGTTATCTGTGTAAGTCCCATCTCGTTTAAGCAGGGGCCCCAACACTGGATGTGGTTTTTGCCCTAGATTTGGCATATAAGAAATATTTTGTTTTCGAGATCTTCCACCTCACCTTCAACAGTGGATGGTGAGTGTTGAAAGTGGGTGGTGACTGTTGGAAGTGGGTGGTGACTGTTGGAAGTGGGTGGTGAGTGTTGGAGGTGGGTGGTGAGTGTTGGAGGTGGGTGGTCAATGTTGGAGGGTGAGTGTTCGAGGTGGGTGGTGAGTGTTGAAAGTGGGCGGTGAGTGTTGTAGGTGGGTGGCCAGTGTTGAGGGGTGAGTGTTGGAGGTGGGTGGCGAGTGTTGGAGGTGGGTGGTCAGTGTTGGAAGATGGTGTCGGGGGTGAGTGTTAAGATTTCGTTCGGATTTTTAACCCCGGAGGGTTAGCCACCCAGGATAACCCAAGAAAGTCAGTGCGTCATCGAGGACTGTCTAACTTATTTCCATTGGGGTCCTTAATCTTGTCCCCCAGGATGCGACCCACACCAGTCGACTAACACCCAGGTACCTATTTGCTGCTAGGTGAACAGGACAACAGGTGTAAGGAAACGTGTCAAATGTTTCCACCCGCCGGGAATCGAACCCGGGCCCTCCGTGTGTGAAGCGGGAGCTTTAGCCACCAGGCCACCGGGCCACCATTACCAGGCCACCGGGCGGGTTGGTGGGGGTGGGCTATGTTGGGTGAACGTTGGAGGTGGGTTATGATGGGTGGTGAGTAAGTTATGGTGTTGTAGGGGTGTGTTATGGTGGGGTGGGTGTTGATTGTTGGAGATGGGTTATTGCAGGAGTGGGTTATGGTGGGGGTGGGTTATGGTGGGGGGTTATGGTGGGGGTGTTATATTGGGGGTGGGTTAGATGGGGTGTGTTATTATTGGAGGTGGGTTATGGTGGGGGTGGGTTGTGGTGGGGTGTTATATTGGGTGGGTTTTGGGTGGGGTGGTTATGGGTTATATTGGGGTGGGTTATGGTGGGGGGGTTATATTGGGGTGGGTTATGTTGGGTGGGTTGTGGGGGGGTAATTATGTTTGGGGGTGGGTTATGATGGGGGTGGGTGGTTATATTGGAGGTGGGTTATGGTGAGGGTGGGTTATGGTGGGGGTGGGTTATATGGGAGGTGGGTTATGGTGGGGTGGTTATGGTGGGGGGTGGGTTATTGGGGGTGGGTTATGGTGGGGTGGGTTATATGGAGGTGGGTTATGGTGGGGTGGGTTATATTGGAGGTGGGGTTTTGGGGGGGTGGGTTATGGTGGGGGTGGGTTATAAAAGGAGGTGGGTTATAGTGGGGGGTGGGTTATATTTGGGGGTGGGGTTTTGGTGGGGGTGGGTTATGGTGGGGTGGGTTATATGGGGGTGGGTTATGGTGGGGGGGGTTATGGTGGAGGTGGGGTTTTGGTGGGGGTGGGTTATGGGGGGGGGTTATGGTGGGGGTGGGGTTTGGTGGGGGGGTTTGGGGGGTTTTGGTGGGGGGGGTTTTTATGGGAGGTGGGGGTTTTTTGGGTTTTTGGGTGGGGGTTTTGGGGTGGGTTTTGGGGGGGGGTGGTTTTGGTGGGGTGGGGGGGTTTTTGGGGGTGGGGTTTTGGGGGGGGTTTTGGGGGGGGGTTTGGGGGGGGGGGGGGGGGGTTTTTTGGGGGGGGGGGTTTGGGGGGGGGGGGTTTTTGGGGGTGGGGTTTTGGGGGGGGGGGGTTTGGTGGGGGGGGGTTTTTTTGGGGGGGGTTTTGGTGGGGTGGGGGGTGGGGGGGTTATGGGGGTGGGGGATGGTGGGGGGGGTTATTGGGAGGTGGGTTTTGGGGGGGGGTTTATGGGGGTGGGTTTGGTGGGGGGGTTTTTTGGGGGGGTGGTATTGGGGGGGGGGGTTTTGGGGGGGGTGGGGTTATGGTGGGGGGGTTTATGGGGGGGTGGGTTATGGTGGGGGTGGGTTATATGGGAGGTGGGGGGTTTTTTGGGGGGGGGTTATGGGGGGGTGGGTTTTGGGGGGGGTGGGGGTTTGGCGGGGGTGGGGTTAGGTGGGGGGGGGTTATGGGGGGGGGGGGGTTTGGTGGGGGGGTTATTTTGGGGGGGGTTGGTGGGGGTGGGTTATGGGGGGGGTGGGAAATTTTGGGGGGTGGGGTTTGGTGGGGGGGGGTTTTGGTGGGGGTGGGTTATGGGGGGTAGGTTATATGGAGGTGGGTATGGTGGGGTGGGTTATGGTGGGGGGGGGTTATATGGGAGGTGGGTTATGGTGGGGTGGGTATGCGGGGGTGGGTTATGGTGGGGGTGGGTTATATGGGTGGTGGGGTATGGTGGGGGTGGGTTATGGCGGAGGTGGGTTTGGTGGGGGTGGTTATGGCGGAGGTGGGTTATGGTGGGGTGGGTTATGGCGGGGGTGGGGTTATGGTGGGGTGGGGTTGCGCGTGGCGGCTTGCAGTTATTACTCTTCCTTCAGTCTTGTGGGTCCACCATCATGTCTTCTGGTGGGTCTCTCTGCCCCATGTGTTGTCCCATGTGCTGCCCCATGTGCCACACCACCACCACATCATGGGGGGTGTGTTGCACGTAATGGTGGTGGTGTAATGGTAGTAGTACTGGTAGTAATGGTGGTAGTAGTGTAATAATAATAATAGTAGTAGTGGTGGTGGGAATCTTCCTCTCACTTCTCTTCAGACAAAATATTATTATGTATTGTGGCTATTAAATTTTAATTTACTGTAGGTTAAATAATTCCTGTATTGTGTTCCATATCATTTATTCATAGTAAAATAATTTGTGCATTTTTAACGATGAATTGTGGTCAGAATATCTCGTAATGTTTGATATTATCCATAACTTTTCAAAATATATGTATATGTAATATATAGATACAGGTACACATGTGTACAATTATCATACATAGTAATATATGTAAATTACCTAGGATAACACTCCCAAAAATCAGTGATGTATTTCCATTAGGGTCCTTGATTATTTCCAGTGGAGTCCTTGATTATTTCTATCGGGGTCCTTGATTATTTCCATTGGGGTTCTTAGTAAGTTCATTTTGGCACACGTACACATAAGTTCAATTATGATACATGGTGTAAATTACCCAGGATAACCCCAAAATAAGGTCAAAGTGACTTTCCATTGGGATCCATTGGTCAGTTTCTATATACTATTACAATATTTAATTGCTAGTACCTTGGCTCTCAACTGAAGGACTTGGTCTTTAAACCCCATTGAAAATATCACAGTGACTATTGGGTTATCCTAGTTTAAATCTATGTAATGTGCCCATAACATATGTCTACCTTTAAGACCAATTTAAAAAATGAATTGTGTACCTACTGCCTGTTGGAATGAACTCTGGCACTGCTTTACATTTTACAATACATGAAAAATCTGTATATAACGGAATAGGACCCCAATGCAAGTGTCACCGTCTTTTTTTTTTTTTTAGGTTATCCTAGGTAATTTACCCATGTACTATGATAATTGTACTTGTGTGTACCTGTACTTAAATGTACTGTAGGTAAGGATTTCTTGTGCAAATTACTGTTTTGATAGATACGAGTGAAAATGGTACGTACATTTCGGTTGCACAGCATGGCTAGGTAAATTAACACTTAATATTGAGTAGTGTCTGACTCTTTTGGGCTATTCTATCATATATAGTGTAAATTAGCTCATGACCTGGATAGCAAAGCTCTCGCTTCACACCTGGAGGGCCCGGGTTCGATTCCCGATGGGGTAGAAACATTTTGATGCATTTCCTTACACCTGTTGTCCTCTTCACCTAGCAGCAAATAGGTACCTGGGTGTTAGTCGCATCCTGGGGGACAAGATTAAGGATCTCAATGGAAATAAGTTACAGTCCTCGATGATGCACTGACTTTCTTGGGTTATCCTGGGTGGCTAACCCTCCAGGGATTAAAAATCCAAACGAAATCGTATCTTGCCTAGGATAACCCTAGAAATGTCAGGTAAAGTGACTTATTTCTGTTGGGATCCTATGCAAGAAACTGAATTAGCTTATTAAATTGTGTTCATCAAGGTAACTTGTAATTATTAAAACATTATTGATTTCAATAATTTGGCCATTGTGGAGGTTGTAGTCTTCAAGGAGTACCTTGATGCTTTTGAAGAGCTCTTGATCCAAGGTCTGGTTTTAATTTAAATGTTTAAAATTGTTGCTAGTAACTGTGATTTAAAGTTTTTCATTAAGTTCTTGAGAAATATATTTTTCTGAGATTCAGTTGGTATTAGCTATTTGGAAAAAAAAAAAAGGGAAACTTCATTATCAGTAAGCTGCCCTTGTGGATCTCTTCTTAATGGGAATCTTGATTTATCCTGCATTGTGTGACACAACTGACTGTGAACCATTCGTCGTCCTCCATGTCATCTCCATCCTTCTTGTGTACTGTGTTTTTTCTCTAATCCTTGACCTACCATTTCCCTCCTCCTCCTGTAAGGAATTTTTCCTCTTTCTCTTGTCCTTCTCTCCCCACTTCCTCCAACACCACCCCCATTCCTCATCTAACCTCCCTCATTTCTCCTGACAGAGTTTAAATGTTTTGCTACTAGTTTCAATTTTGGTCAACACTGAAGTATGATATAATTACAGGTAAAAAAAGCAAAAAAAATAAGGGGAAGGCCCTTTCGTTGGGAGAATTCCTTGGAGCATCTACCCCTAGTGGTGGATCCGCTGTGGTTGTAAACAAAGGCAGCTGGGCTGAGGAAAGTGAAGATTATGAGGGTAAGTTAGCATGTAATTACACATTTCTTGTCATCCTTATTTTTTTTATGTAAGCTTTCAGAGACAGTGGTACCTTAAGTTTTGAACAGTTCCCAACTCAAACAGTTATGCAAGTGTATTTTTATAAGTGCTTTTGTAAGTGTTTTTTGGGGGGATCTGAAATGGACTAATCTAATTTACATCTTTCCTTAGGGTAACAAAATCGTTCGGTAACAGCACTCGAACAGCCGTCTGGAACGCATTAAGTTCATAACTAGAAGTACCACTGTATATTCTCCTCACTTAACAATGGAGTTCCACTCCAAATACCACATCAATAAACAAATTCATCGCTAAACGAGGAGCATACTATAATGGTAGTGGGTTTATGTCAACCATCTTTGATATTACTTTAATGTCACCTTTACACCATTTATAACATTTTTAGTATGTTTTAAATGTTTATACAGTAGTGTACTGTATATTGTAATACACAATAGAGGAAATCAGCTCTATTCATTATTTAGGTACGCATACTAGTCAGAGAGCCCATTGTAAGTCTGAGTTGTCGGTAAACGACTACAACACTAAGTGGGGAGAGGCTGTATATATAATCGGGCAGTAATAGCATATGCAGATGCATAAAATGAGGTAACTTATTCATCTTTAACTTGAACTAGTTATTAGTTTTTCAAGGATAATAAAGACATAGAGGTGTTATTCAAAGATGAACATTTTACTTTGGTGGCAAGCAGGATAGTTAACCCTTTCAGGGTCGACAGGCCCTCTCAGAGACTTGTTCTCAGGGTCGCCCAAATTTAAAAAAAAAAAAAAAAAAAAAATTCTTGTGAAAAGATAGAGAATCTTTTCCCGATCATAATGACACCAAAAGTATGAAATTTGCTGAAAAACTTGGGGAATTATGCTCTCGCGAAGTTAGCGGTCTCGACGATGTTTATGCATCGGTAATTTTGCCCAATTTGAGCTCTGTTTTCTTCCAATTCCACTGTAATAGTCGACAAAAATCATGAATTTTGCTAGAACTCCATTTTTTCTATCAAATGAGTGCAAGAAGCCACCCATTTACCAATTTCAACTATCCAATACAGTGGTCAGAATTTAGCAATTTTGCCAATTTCACACAAATTTCAAAACATGCCAATTTCCAAATAGGGTCCAGAATAAACAAGAAAGACATTCCTGGCACTAAAATGACATTTCCTCTGTTCATTAGTCACGTCCCAACGCCCCTCTTACATTCTTTTGCTTTCCACTTTGAATTTTTATTCTCACAAAAATTAGAAGATTTACTGTTATGCAGACTACTGCATTAGTGTAAAAAATGGTATAAATAATATCGGCACACTTGTGAAAGAATCTTAGACTCGCCTGTTGACGTGTATTGGACGCATAGCATGATTTGTTTACTTTTGAACTTTGGTAAAAATCAAACATTTCTGCTACTTTGAGCTCAATTTCAAGGTACTTTTCATTGTGAAATCAGTCAAAATCATCTCAATTTCTGTAATATGTCTTCCATTCTATAGAATGAGACCAGGAAAACGAGAATACAACACTAAATACCATACAAAAATACAATGCAAAGTCACTGTTTTAATCCAAAAACAGTCAAATTTTTTTTTTCTCATTATGCACTGTGTGCTGCAGGATTTTTTTTATGCTGCGCACACTGACCACATAGACCCATTCTTTCATATGTAGGCCTACCAACTTTCTCTCACTAGATTTGAGGGCGGTAGAATTTAGGCGTACAATGGACCCCCGGTTCGCGATGCTATCGGTATCCGATAAATCCGGTAACCGATGCATTATATCGCAGAAAATTCGCCTCGCTTCCCGATACAAAACCCGGTATGCGATGTGGTTCGTACGAGACGTGTCCATGTGTGACCTGAACTGCCCCGTGTGTGCCAGTGTTTACAAGCCAGCCAGTGTGCGCGCATCTAAGGATACATTCGGTACATTCCATATTATCACTGTTTTTGGTGCCTGTTTTTGCAAAATAAGTCACCATGGGCCCCAAGAAAGCTCCCAGTGCCAACCCTTCGAGACCAAGGGTGCTAATGACTGTTGAAATGAAGAAAGAGATAATTGCAAAGTACGAAAGTGGAGTACGTGTGTCGGAGCTGGTCAGGTTGTATAGTAAACCCCAATCAACCATCTCTACTATAGTGAGCAAGAAAACGGCAATCAAGGAAGCTGTTCTTGCAAAAGGTGCAACTGTGATTACGAAACAGCGACCGCAAGTGTTAGAAAATGTTGAGAGACTGTTATTGGTGTGGATAAATGAAAAACAGATAGCAGGAGATAGCATCTCTCAAGCAATCATTTGTGAAAAGGCTAGGCAGTTGCATGACGATTTGGTAAAAAAATTGCCTGCAACTAGTGGTGATGTGAGTGAATTTAAGGCCAGCAAAGGTTGGTTTGAAAGATTTAAGAATTGTAGTGGCATACATAGTGTGATTAGGCATGGTGAGGCTGCCAGTTATGTTGTGTGACAGAAGTCCAGTGACTCTCAAGCTGGTCCTAGTGGCATTAAAAGAAGGGAAGTAACCCCAGAAAAGGACTTGCTATCTCAAGTCCTAATGGGGGGGATTCCCCTTCTAAATGCTAACACCATCCACACTCTCCCCTCCTCCCATCCCATCAATCATCACCAGATGTTCATTAAAGGTAAGTGTCAATTATTCTTTCGTTATTTATTGTTATTGTTGTTATTGTAATTACTATTCTATTGCATTAAACTTAATATTTCATGTGGTAAAAGTTTTTTTTTCATACTTTTGGGTGTCTTGCACGGATTAATTTGATTTCCATTATTTCTTATGGGGAAAATTGATTCGCTTTCCGATATTTTTGGTTTATGATGAGCTCTCAGGAACAGATTAGTATCGCGAACCGGGGGTCCACTGTACTAGTACGTCAAAAACCCTGGTGCGTAAGCCGTGCTAGTACGGCTTATGCACCAGGGTTAATGAATTTCATTTTTAATAAATGTTGGAATGCTTGGCTCATAATTTTACTTCCAGAGGATCGTTTTGTCGCTCCGGAGCGCCTGGTGCTTCCGACAGCCCCACGCACTGCTCGTGAGCCAGATGTGGATCCAGAAAGAATTCCACGGGACCCTCCTTTCACTGCATATATTGCCAATCTCCCGTTTGAGGTTGATGATGATGATATTATTCGATTTTTCCAAGACCTTAAGGTTAGCCAAGTATTGATTCAGTATTTATTTAAAGATAGTATATTTAGAAATTAATTTGTAATTTCCCCTACCCCAATTGTTATCCCTTCAGCTTGTCTTTTTCAGTATCCCTTCTCTTCTTTTTACCCCCTCCCTTCTCTTTTCCCCACTTCCCTCCTCTTCATACCTCTCCCTTCTCTTTTTCCCCACTTCCCTTCTCCTTTTACCTCTCCCTTCACCTGTCTTCTCTTTTTCTCCCTCTTCTATCTCACAGGTTATAAGGAGACCTGAACAAGACAAACCACTGGGAGACCTGGAAAAGACATAGGTTATACTGGTGGTCTGATAGGGTGTTGCTGGAGATCAATATGAGTAAATGCTAGGTCATGAAGACCTGGAAAATCTAAAGATGGAGTACAACCTAAGAGGAGAAATTACAAGTGAAAGAAAATTATATGAATGATTTTTATCACACCCTACCTATTGTTGGAGATCCTCATCAAGACTTGACAAACCCTAGAAGAGCTTTCAGGGACCTAGACAATCAGTGATAACATTCCTGTCAGGCCCATTATAAAGTATGTGGCCTCAGTGTGGAGCCCCTTTGCCAAAAAACAAGAAACAAATAAAGACTTGTTCTAGAGCTAAGAGAAATGCACTATGGGAAGATACAAAAGGGATGGAACTGAACTTGAAGGCCTTGGAGGAGAGAAGAACCAGGGGAGACATGATTATAATGTGAAAATTATTAATGAATTAACAGGGCAGATAGAAGCTGAAGCTATAGATGAGCCATAGGAACATTAGCAACTACTGGAGTGTAATGCTGGTAGAAAAACAAAAGGACCTGGATTTGGCAGTAGTTCAAAAAGTGGATATAAGGCCTCAAGAAGCCAGAAATTACTAATGCTGGTGATGTAGCTTTAGAGGTAGGGTTAAGAGCAAAGAATCAAACTACATAAGTTGGTGAGGACTTTTCTTTTTCCCTTTGCCCTTCTCTTTCTCCTTTTCTCCCCCTTCACTTCAGTCTTTTTTACAATTGTCATAAAAATTAGATTATTTGAGGTCTTGAAAACTGGTCAACAGTTATTATTGAAGTACGTATAGTATAGTATAGTACGTATAGTATAGTTTGGAGGGATATGTTGTGTATCTTTATACATATATGCTTCTAAACTGTTGTGTTCTGAGCACCTCTGCAAAAACAGTGATTATGTGTGAGTGAGGTGAAAGTGTTGAATGATGATGAAAGTATTTTCTTTTTGGGGATTTTCTTTCTTTTTTGGGTCACCCTGCCTCGGTGGGAGACGACCGACTTGTTGAAAAAAAAAAAAAAAAAAAGTATAGTTCTTTTGCATTTCACATTTCTTATATTTTTCATTATATTGTGGATAGTGTCTTGTATATATGGTACCATGTATACTTTTTTTTTACATTGAATCTGTAACTTTAACATCAAGGATTTATACTTCTTATTGACACCTCTTCTTGTCAACAGGTCAAATCCATCCGCCTCCCTAGGGAAGGTGGTGAAGGTGGACGGTTCAAGGGATTTGGATATGTAGAATTTGATACCAGAAATGACTTGATTGAGGCACTCTCTAAAAATGATGATGTAAGTAAATATTGGGTGAAACAAGTGTTAGTAAAGTGCCATGTCAAAAATTTTATTTGTAACTGAAAACTACTGTATTGTAATGGAAATTATAATAAAGTAATAAGAATTTGGTTTGTTTCAGATGATGAATAACCGGAAAATACGTGTGGACGTGGCTGAGGGAGAGGGAGGCAACCAGAGGCGAGGCTTTTCTGATCGTGGTGGTAGAGATGAAGAAAGATTAGATCGTAGTGAAGGAGTTTCTGACTGGAGAGCAGGTCCTAGGGATGCACCACTAAGAGATGGCAAGTACTCCACTATAGATATTTGCCATTACCTATTCTTAATACACAGCTGTAAGTTGGAATCATTATTGTATTGCTTTACCCAGTAGCTCATATTTAGAGATGGTAAACTGCCTAGGTGGGAAATGGGCAATGTGTTAAAAAAAAAATAAAACTTTTTAATTTTTTAGGGGGATAAAATGTGCTTGGTAAAATCTCGCTTCACACTGGTCATGTTCCTGAAAATCAGCATGCACTGTAAGGTCATGACAGAAATAATAACATTGGGAAAAACAGGACCAGGCTCTAAAACTCATAGCTCATCTCCCCCTCCTCTTAGATAGTCATATACAACTTGTTGGTGATGAACATTGTAGAATTCTCAGATTTCTTTAACTTAAATATAGTGCCTAATAACCATTATGGAATCGGTTATTACCAGATGGAAAATAATAGATGCTTTGACATTCATTCTAGATATATAATGTTCAAATGCAGTTTACTCATGAAAATCATAAAATTTTGCGAAGATATATGGGGAAGTGGAACAGTGGAATTCTTCCTCTGTAAGCTATTTGTGTTGTAAGAGGCGACTAAAATGCCGGGAGCAAGGGGCTAGTAACACCTTCTCCTGTATATATTACTAAATTTAAAAGGAGAAACTTGTTTTTCCTTTTGGGCCACCTCACCTCAGTGGGATACGGCTCGTGCATTGAAAGAAAGAAAGATTATACTCGTATGTAGCCTAAACATTTAAACATTGATTCTGGTGAGGGGCTCATGATCTAAGGAATTGTAACTGTTGCTCTACTTGGATTGAACCTGAATGCCTTGCATTTCCCCAGGTGCTGTATGACCTCTGTGGGTTTAATGCTTGCCACAAATGTAATAAAAATAATTGGGGCCATATATATTCTGGAAAAACATTTAGATAAAGAAAAGCACATAAAACATCATCCTATGCAAACATGTGGAAGATAAAGCAACCACAAACTGAGAGAAAGAGTACAAGTAGTTAGGTGCAGGTTGATACTTCAGAAAAATATTGTTTTACACTTTAGAAATTGCATCGTGACAAAGCCAGTTACAAAGACTTCCACTCATAGAGGTAAATAGTAAGTGGTGTTTCTCTTTGATCAGTACCATCACTATATTTGTGTGCCTTTTTCTCTTACATATTCATTTTGTCCTTCTTTTATAAAAAAGTGCTCTGGCAAGACAGTGATGGAGTGAGTGATGATGAGGTGTGTCTTCTTTTTTTGGGTCACCCTGCCTCTGTGGGAAACTGCCGATGTGTTAAAAAAAATTATACTCCTTTTCTAAAGAGAATATTTGTGTTTACCTTCTTTGAGTTTACCTTTCTATATACAGTATAGTATTTAGATACAGATTTTAGCCCAGGTGTTACTTGCACTTCTCATGATTCTGCTGGCACCAGTCATCTCAGATTGATTTTCATTCTTGGTTTTGTGTTGTAGTGAGTGGGCATTACTATTGAATTGCACACATTCACTGTTGCAACTTTCAATTCATAGCTGTTGACTTCTGAATTGATATAAAACTAGTTAATACATCTAATGAAAAGATTTTCCTAAACAAATGTGTAACCATAAACCAATGTTTTAAACATATAGACCTATTTTTTGTTTTAAATCTTTATTTGCAGTGTTGTTTTTGCAGATATGATTCTTCATAGTTTTTCAATTTCAGGAAGAGATGACCGTAGTCCTGGTCGAGGGGGATTTGACAGGGACCGCCGTGATGAAGGGTACGGCTTCTTTTAATGGCTGCAAAAGTATGATAAATAACTTGGCTTTTCTCTATTGCTTGCAAGCCAATTTTTAGAAATTGCAGATGAAATGCCAGAAAACTTTACATAATAGAAGAGAAAGATTTAGAAAAGAAAGAGGATTTGTAGTATAAAGGAAATAATGGGACTGTTAGTTTTGAAGGTGATTGGACATGCCAAACTTTTGTAGTTATGAAAGTAACAAGTAGTTCCAAGTGGTAGTATGAAGGTGATTGTAGTGCCAGGCTAGTTTAGAGGATAATTACGCATGTCTTATTAATCATTGCAATATTTTGACATGAGAGTTGTATGATACAAAGAGAGAGATAGAGGGATATAGTAAGTAGGAGATTGATTGATTTCACATAATGTTATGCAATAAATGTTTGCATTTTATTTCCAGCCGTGGTGGTTTTAGTGACCGAGATAGAGGTTATGGAGACAGAGATAGAGGTGGCTTTGGTGACCGTGACCGTGACCGTGATCGAGGAGGCTATGGTGATCGTGACCGTGGTGGTTTTGGTGACCGTGATCGAGACCGTGGAGGTTTTGGTGACCGTGATCGAGACCGTGGAGGTTATGGTGACCGTGATCGAGATCGTGGTGGTTTTAGTGATCGCGATCGTGACCGTGGTGGCTTTGGCGATCGTGATAGAGGTGGTTTTGGGGATCGTGACCGTGGTGGATTTGGAGATAGGGAGAGAGGTAAGCATTACCACTAGCTTATATAAATTTAAATATTTTAATCCATTGATACAGAAATTTGTATAATTCCATCTACAAATACAGTTGTGTGCTGTCCTTTACAAGATTATAATTATTCCTAGGATGGCTTTTTTTAAATTGTGAACCTGTGGGTCACTGGTACAAACAGCTTGGTTGACCAGGTAATCAAGAGGGAAGCTTAGCCCCAGGCTGGACTATGAGGGTAGAAGAGCTCTCAATACTGGTCACAGATTCCAGATACAAGTCTAACCAAATGTCTGAGAACAAGTTAATGTTAAAAAAAATTGCTGTGTGGAGAAAGGACATGATGGAAACAGTGGTATATATAAGAATTACTAGAAAAAATCTAAAAGGTAAAAATCATTACATGATTATTCACCATTTACCTGAGCCAAAATGTACTCGAGAAGATTGTAGATTACAGGCTAAGGATTCCTGCCTTAAAAATGAAACAGATGGAGTAAGGAAGCTGTGCAACATTCACTCCAACCTAATTCATACTATGTTGTTATCAAACTATTGTTTCACCAGTCTAAACTTTTACTTGTTCATTAGTATTTGTAGGATTTTTTTTTTACTTGCTCTGTAGCTCCTGACCCATTCAGGGTCGGAGAAATATCAGAGCTGGAACAAATAGAGATCATTTACGGCCCAAATAGAGCCAGTAAAGTACTGTATTTAAATTACTAGGAATGCCTTAGTCTTAAATATGTACTCATTAGAGCAGAGGAGAGAGAGAGAGAGATACATGATAATATATACTACCTGGAAAGTACTTGAGGGCCTGGTCCCAATTCTGCACACTGCCAAAACAGCATACTGGAGCGAGAGAGATGGGAGAAAGTGCAAAATAAACCCAGTGAAAAGCAGGCATGCATTGGGCACAATAAGGTAACACTGTATCAACATCCATGGCCCCAGATTATTCAACATCTTACCAGAAGATATCAGAAACACTGCTGGAACAAATGTAGAAGTCTTCAAGAATAAACTGTACAAGTATCCTCACTAGGTGCCAGATCAACCAGGCTGTGATGTATATGTGGGGCAGCAGGCCTCCAGCAGCAACATCCTGGTTGACCAGGCTAGCACCAGACGAGCCAGGCCATGGGCCAGGCTCAGGGAGTAGAAAGACTTAGAACTCATCAAAGGTCTCGAAGCATTTTGTAGATTATTTTTTTTTGGTATGTAGTATTTTCAGTGAAAATACAGTATATTGTATATTTTTTACTTGATCACTAGCATTTTGTAAAATTTTTTGTTAAGTATATTGAGCAAATAATACAGTATAGTGTCTAGAATTCATCAAGGTTGATGTTGAATGAGGCTACTTAAGTGTAGAAGAGAGAAGACTGGGGGGAAGGAGAAGGGGGTGCAATCTACCAAGTGAAAGGAATTCCCTTTTATTTACAGAGTAATGCTTCCATGTGTCTTCTGGTCTTAATAGTATCAGGATTTAATTATTGATTATCACTTTTAGTGAATAATTTTTGTTCTCTTGTGTACAGTATTAAGGTTTTTGTTCAGGATAACTTTATGGAAGTACGATGTTTCCTAGTAGGCCAGTTTGTGTCTCGTTGCAGATGGAAGCACTAAAGAGGGGAATGTAAGTGGAGGGTATCTTTTAACTTTTGTTTTGTGTGTATTTCATATTAAGTTCTTTTGCTAAGAGTGCTGAGTGTTATACCAAGTGAATAGCTCTTTCAAATCTCAAGACTAGTTTCCTATCATTTCATATGCAAGTTTTCCATCTGCTTATTCTTCCTTAGGCAGACCTCCATTATCTTCACATTCTTGTTTCCAAATGCAATCATATGGCAAGAGTGTCATTTGTGTACTAGCTACACAGACTTATAGATGTTCTTAACATTAATTTATAAGTGTTGAAATACCCTTCAAAGGTTCTACATGGGGATACCCCTCAAGGAAGGGAAGTTGTAAAGGTAATGCCATCAGAGATGAGATTTCCTGCATCCTAACTGGTCTCTAATATGTGTTGCTTGACTTGTAAATGATAGGTGCGTGGCTATTAAGCTACCTCAAGCACAGGACTGGAGTGTCCTGACAAAATAATGGCAGCAAGTCTATTATGACTAGAGATGCTTGTGCAGTGTACAGAATTCCTAGAATAGGCTCAAAATTACTTCATAACAGATACCACATAGTATTTACTTTAATAGTATGGTCATAGTTATCTTTTCAAAGCTGGCAGGTTAGACTTTAAAAGCTGCAGGCAGTTACTGAAAGTCTTGCTGGACCACAAAAGAAAAAAATTATCAAGAATTTTACTGTTGAATATAGTTACATTGCCTTTTAAAACAAGTGAGAGGTAGCTTCAGGGGTAATGCATCTTAGAAAGGGATGCTTTGTAATTTGTGTGTTTACTGTGATGTAAGGTCCCTGTTATGGCTGTTCATGTTATTGCTTCTGGATGAGGTTGTAAGGCTTCATTATTGTCTGAATAATAATCTTCGATGCAAATATAAAATACAGCAAAACGTCTCATTAACGGACTAATTGGGGGGGGGGAGTGTACGATAATGCCAATTGTCTTCAACTCTCAAATATGAAATTAATATTTCACAATCACCAAGTTATCTTCTGAAGCAGTTGACTAGGTTTGCTAATGCAGGAGGTAACAGGACACTAAGAATATGGGTATTGTAACCTGTAGTGCTACAGTACTGTACAGTATAGTAATTTTGCTTTACTCTATGTAATTTACAGTAATTTTACTTTTCTTGGTGAAGATGGGGTGTAAACCTGTTGTGACTTTTATTATGACTCAGAGGAACTGTAAAACTCTCCTAGTGAAAATAATGTTAATGGCTGAGATGATGTAGATGGCTGAGAAGACAGACTTTACATACCTGTGCCACTGAGATGCCAGACTCAACCCTCTTTATTAATTGAAGTTTCTTAATACAGAGAACCATACATTTTCTCTTGGCATAACCACTTGCTTTAGTAGCCGTTGTTAATTGCATTTTACTTCACATGTTAATCAAGCAACACAAAATTCTCTAAATCCAAGGAAAATTAGAGTCTGAATGATGAGTGTTTGTGTGTGAGTGAGTACAAACTGGCACAGGTGACCTGTGGCTCCCCATGCTGGACAGATCTTGCTACATGGACAGGTCTTGGACATGGATGTTTTGGCCTATACTGAATGAATGTTGGAGTTAACAGACTTCGTCTGATGCTTCAGAAGACACTTGGACACAATTGCTATGGATAAAATGTGGAATTATGGACTTTTGTCTATTTTGTCTGATAATTAGAGTGCTTGTCCAATCAATTTTTTCTCCAAAATTGCCAAAATTCAATAATGGGAGGTTGTACTGTACTTTAAAATAAAAAATTAAAAAAATATAAGATAAAATACATATTGCAAATTTACTGTAGACTGCATTTGTCTCTTCTTAATTCACTGTACTTTGTTTTATATCCTCCTGTGTTGCTTGCTGTTGCTTATTTCGTTATAGTATACTTGTTATTATCATTGATTCTATGTTAACTCCAAAACTTTAATTGTTAATTAAAAAAATAAGGAAGGAATTCACCAAGAAATTCTTAAAATGTCTTGTAGATGAAAATTTAAAATTTGCCACAGCACAAAATTAACATAGTGTAATATTGCATTTTTTGTATTTGTGTAATTATGAATTTTGGTGTTACTTATAAATGTCGTCTACGTATTATGGAATCAACTTGTTCAAGTATGGAGAAGTTTGATCTTAATTAAACTGGCCCCCATAACTAAATCTGACAGGTTGATTGACGGGTTTCAATATTAGGCTGGTGTCCATTTCTGAGCTGCGTAGACGGTGACACGTGCAAGAAAATCTTGTTCGATTCTCTACTAAATTTACCTAGAACTGATATACATGTATATACGTCTTCAACTTACCATTATTACTGGAAATATAAGAAATATGTAATAAGTACACTTGGATATAATCTTCAATTTGTATTTAATCACTGAAAATATCTCTATCAAAGTATGGGACTGGGAGAACTTCTGTAAAATATCTTTATACTACTGTAACATTTAGTATTAATGAATTTAAGAAAAATGCCTGTACCCACTAAGAGAGGAGAGAAAGGGTGAAGATAAGTGAGAAAAAGTGAAAAAGTGACAGTGAAAGGGAAAATGAGAGCTGTGAGGGTGGGTGGATAGGTGTATGGGAGTGGATGGGTGTGTGTGGGGGTGGATGGATGTGGGTGTGCTCACCTAGTTGTGGTTGCAGGGGTTGAGTCACAGCTCCTGGCCCTGCCTCTTCACTGGTCACTACTAGGTCACTCTTCCTGCTCCATGAGCTTTGTCATACCTCTTAAAGCTGTGTATGGATCCTGCCTCCACTACATCATGTCCCAGACTATTCCACTTCCTGACAACTCTGTGACTGAAGAAATATTTCCTAACATTCCTGTGATTCATCTGAGTCTTCAACTACTAACTGTGGCCCCTTGTTTCTGTGTCCCATCTCTGGAACATCCTGTCTCTGTCCACCTTGTTGATTCCCCTCAGTATTTTATGTCATTACCAACATACCCCCAACTCTACTGTCCTCCAGTGTTGTCAGGTCGATTTCCCTTAACCTCTCCTTGTAGGACATGCCCTTTAGCTCCAGGACTAGTGTTGTTGCAGACCTTTGCACTTTCTCTAATTTCCTTACGTGCTTGGCTAGGTGTGGGTTCCAAACTGGTGCTGCATACTCCATTATAGGCCTAATGTACACACTGTACAGGGCCCTGAACGATACCTTATTGAGATGTCGTAATGCTAATCTTAGGCTTGCTAGGCACCTGTATGCTGCAGCAACTATCTGGTTGATATGCGCCTCAGGAGATGTGCCCAGTGTTATACTCGCCCCAAGATCCTTTTCCTTGAGTCAGGTTTGTAGTTTCTGGCCCCCTAGACTGTACTCTCTGTGGTCTTCTTTGTCCTTCCCCAAACTTCATGACTTTGCACTTGG